ATTCATATATTTATTTAAAGCAGCATCATTCATATATTTATTTAAAGTAAGGAAAACACCTGAAAACTTGTTTCTGACTGAAACATTTATTTTTAATTAGAAACAAATGACCATCTGACAGAGGTCATGGGTTCACATTGATCCAGTGAGAAATCCATAAATGGTTTATTTGGTAAAGAATAATTAGATATGGAGTGTTTTGGGGGTGGCCCACCACCTTGAAAGGCAGGTGATCATGTACCTGCCTCTGTGCTTGTTTGGACGGGTCAGTCTGGGCTGGAAGGAGCGCTGTCAGAAGGCGTGTCGGGTGATGGAAGCTGCGGCGAGGCCCTGCCACTGAACCTCAGTGTCCATTTTCACTCTGACGTCATCGACCATTTCACAAAGTGACAGCGTAACTTTTAAAATCTGGCTGTTTGCAACGTTTTCTCACTGAACTGTGCAGTGTCCCGTCTCAGGATGCTGGGAGTCAGAGATGTAAGGCGGTCCAGGCCAACCCTCCCTCAAATGCTCACATACCTGCACCTGCAACGTTTCATGAAGTTTGCTGTCACTGGCGTGTTTCCCATTTAACCCGTTCACCATGTGAACACATGACTCCAACAAAAAGGACTCTGCAGGTCACAGTTTTACAAGGACCCAGTTAAACAACGCTGAGTAATGCTAGCAGCTGGAATAAGGCCATGCTGCAAGTTACGACTCAAAATACTCTTCACTTTTAGAATCAAGATGTTTCCTGACGCCCGACATCAAATACGACACAAATGCCTTCAAGACTTAAGCTTATTTTGATTTTCTTGATTTCTGAGAGATCTGTGTAGAAACCATTTTTTGTCTGAAGTAAAATGGATCTAAAACGAACAAAGAGAGTGGCGGGAGGTAACGAAACAAGACTGGCTCATTTTGTGCAGGACACCGGGGCAGCTGCAGGGCAGGTGACGTGCACGAGGAGATGCATGTGATGGGAGAAAAATGAAATGGACAAAAACAAGATGCATGAGCTCAGAATTATTCAAACAGTTAGAGCTGATGATCCGCACGCAGCTGGGACCAAACTGAGTATTTTGAGATAAGTTGTCCCCCCATAGGAATTAATTTATGCTACATTAAATATGTCTGATTAATTGTTTTACAAAATATGTTTAATTTCACACGTAATTCCTAGAGTGCACGTGAACTTTCTGTTATTTCCTGGTTAATGTTCAGAGTCGTGCAGAAGCAGAGTGACTGAAAGAGTCTGAGCTTCGTGCAGACGGCATGAAACCTGGATGACGAGACGTTTTCACCTCCTGCTGCACCTACAGTCCATGTGATACCCAGTCAGCTCTGTGACAAGCAGTTCACATGGAAGACCATCTCCTGACCTCAGGAGTAGGTCTGCTAGGCTGGCTTCATACAGTTCTTCATCCACAGCAGTCTTTGTCTTCTTCACGCTCTGCTCAGAGACAAACACACCTAACATGTTCATGCTGCCGTTCAGCGTATTGTTTTTATCTTATTGGTGCTTAAGAGTATTTTTAGTTGCACACCTGTCGGCTCCGGTGACGTCATCCTGCTCGGCCCTTCCAGGAAGCGCTCACCTATTCAGCATAAGAAGGTTAGTGGCTGTCATGCTGTCTACCTGCCTGCTCACACAAACTGTCAGTCCACTAACCTGACACATCTCTGCAGACTGGGCTCGCTCCAGGACCTTCACCACCAC